TTAATGATAGTACTGGAATGATAACAATAAGCATGATGGCTATAATCCTGATGATGAATCAGCATGTATTCCATTTGCCGACAGACATACCACACCATTATCATCACATACCACACCATTATCATCACATACCACACCATTATCATCACATACCACACCATTATCATCACATACCACACCATTATCATCACATACCACACCATTATCATCACATACCACACCATTATCATCACATACCACACCATTATCATCACATACCACACCATTATCATCACATACCACACCATTATCATCACATACCACACCATTATCATCACATACCACACCATTATCATCACATACCACACCATTATGATTAATATTCTCCTCATTTTCTTTCATTATTGTATTTGGGTGTGTCGGTGTAGTAACTCGTGTAGTTATCATATTATCATGATGATGATGATGATGATGAGATCCTATATTAAATCTTTGTAAGAAAGGTACATCTGATATATCGGATACCATATCTCGTACCTATGATAATAATTATAGATCATTAATCCGATATAGTATTAATCCTGTACTGAATGAGTCAGAGCTGTCCTCAAGAAGTAGCCCTTCCTGTTACTAATCTCCTGCTGCTGCTGCTGCTGTTGATGCTGATGCTGCTCATCTCCATGATCATTATGATCAGCATAAGTAGATTGTTGTTGTTGTTGTTGTAAGGGTTGTGTTATTATTGAAGAAGAAGATGGTGGTGGTGGTGGCGGGAATGCTATCCTATGAGCTATTGATGCTATCAACATTTCCACACATATAAGAGTATTCTGTAATGACTTTTTAACATCAACTGTATTATACTTCCAACTTGGTATATCAGCGAGTAATCCCAATTCAACCATTATATTTAGTATTACCGATTGCCAAAAACTGAATACACAGTACTACTGCTGATGATGATGCTGCTAATTATTACTACTACCTAGCAAAGAGGACAGCTTTAATGCACAAAAACTTGGGTACAGGATTATAGGGTTCAAGTGCTCTCTTAGTCGCCATATAGAACATAACCAACCAATACCTACTAGTATAATAGTATTATTATAATAATGAGGAGTAGGAGTAGGAGGATGATGATGATGAGTATATTACAGTGACATGGATATACTTATGTTGATGCATAAGCATAGATAGAGATATCCATTTAATGGAGAGAAATCCCCTTCCTGAAGAACAACAACAACAGCAGCAGGACGACGACGTTCGTAGTAGCAGTACTAGTATTATAGAGTATTATTACCTGGTATAAGCCTATATTATGCAATATAACCGCTAATACCGTTGTTATAGGTTTTACTAACAGAAATTGTAATACCTAATTATCACATTGTAGTAATATTATGAATATATATCCTTCTAACATTATTATTATTACAAAAGTCTTGCATGATATGAGGAATTCCATTGGTGATCTAGGATGCCATAAATGAAAGCTCGGATCATAATCACGATAT